ACACACTTAGGCGATAATGTGTCTTTCGATACATGACTGATGAGGCAGATTTTTCAGTATGCTGCCATTTCTTTCTGCGGTAGACCAGTGGTCATCCAAGGCTATAGAAACCGGTAGTCTTAAAAAATCCATTGGGGTATTCAGAAAATAAAGCTCTGCATGAAGAACCCTTTAAGGACTTCTTTTCTTTTTATGTGCCGTGTCCTTTCAGGGCGTAGGCGATCATGGCTCTCCCACTATCCATTGTGGCCCTCAATAAGTTTCGTCCCTCTGCCACCTCTCCCAGACCACGCTCTGTCATCCACTTGTTTAAGCACGCCACGTATATCATGCATTGCTTTCTCTTATCTCTCTATTTGACCTGTGAGTATCAGATTCTCCAGGTTCTCCTTTCTCATTTCGTGTCGTAGAAATTCCAGCTGCCTCTTCCTAATGTTAATTATAAGGTTCCTCCTTTTTTCGATCCTCTCCAAAACCTCATTGTTGCTAACATGTTCGGTTCATGATATCCTTAGCATCCTTCCGCAGAACCATACCTCCGTTGCCTCGAGTTTCTTCTTCATCTTTGAGGAGACCGTCCAACATTCACTGCCGTAAAGGAGAACAGATACTATGTAGCAGTTCAGTATTCTTTTCTTTGTTACCAATGAAATCCTCCTGTCTCGTAATACACTGCCAAGCTTTTGGAATGTGTCTTTGGCCAGAAAATCTTTAGCATTCTTCTGTTGCTTCGAGTCTTTTCTTCATCTTTGAGGAGACTGTGCAACATTTGCTGCCGTATATGAGGACAGACGTCACGTAGCAACTCAATACTATTTTCTTTGTTACTAAAGAAACCCTCCCGTCTCGCAGTCTTCACGGTAAAAGAATATACAATCCTTCACAAGTATATTTTTTAGTAACTAAGTTTAATTTACAAATAAAATTATATACAGTGTGATAAAATAGTAACTTCTTATTTTATGTATGAGTAGCCAGCCAAGAGTTGTGACTTAAAACCCTGTGACTTTTTTTTATTTAGGGTTTATTAAAGAATCAAGTCTACTCCAGGGGTTGTACAAAATAATTGGAGCACTTGCTAAATTCAAAGAAAATTTATTTAATATGGAGTTGGTCCTCCTCTAGCCTCACAGACAGCTTTAATACGTCTAGGAATGGAATCATACAGCTTCCCGACTTTATCCAGAGGAATTTTCAGCCATTCTTCCATTAAAACCTTCTCCAGCTCTTTACGACACGACGGTGGAGGATAGCGGCTCCTAACTTGTTGCTCCAAAATGCACCACAAATGTTGAATAATATTGATATCTTGAGATTGGGGAGGCCACTCCATGTGTTCTAGCTCACTTTTATGCTCTTCATACCAATTCTTAACCACTCGATCGATATGTATTGGAACATTATCGTCTTGGGAGATGCAGTCACCATCAGGGAATAAAGTCTTGGCCATAGGATGAACATGATCTCCCAAAATGTTCAGATAATCTTTACTGTTGATTCTACCATGCAGGGCAACTATTGGACTGAGACATTTCCATGATATGGCGGCCCAAATTATCGCTGATCCACCTCCATGCTTCACTGGTGGAAGCATCTTTGGGCTGCCTCCACACATAAACTCACCCTGAAGTTGGGAAATTGAGAATCTGACTTGCTTCCATTGGTCTGCAGACCAGGCATTGTGATCTCTGCACCACTTCAACTTCGTTTGAATGCTGCGAGTGGAGAGAAGAGGTTTCCTCACAGCGGCTCTTCCATGATGTGGAGCATTATGGAGCTCACGGTGAACAGTTTTAGTAGAAACTGAACTATTCAGATGGTTATTCAACTCAGCAGTCACTTTGGCCACATTTGTCCGATGATTTTTTGCCACATTGCGTTTCAATGCACGTCAGTCTCTGTCAGTAAGTTTACAAGTCCGGCCCGAATTGCTACGGTTGCTAGAAGTCTTGCCCTGTTTGCCCTGTTTCTTCAATTGCATCAGTGTTCTTGATATGGTCGCTCTTGAAAAAACAAACAGTTCAGCAACCTTAGTGATCGAGGCTCCTGCCGTCCGAGCTTCAACAATTTGCTCTTTTTCGAACTCTGAGAGGTCATGCATTTAGCTTAAATTTTATTAAATTTTAAAAATAAATAAGACAAAGACAGTAAATTACATAAACGTATTTACAATAGATATAACCTGCAATTACAAAGTTTTAGTTAAATTTCTTAATATAATAGGTCTTTGAAATATAGGAGTGGATTTTGCAACTGTTCCAATTATTTTGTCCAACCACTGTATAACAAACCATGACTTTGGAAGAATTTGAAGCACGAGTACAAAAAGTTGTCTTTCATACCACAAGATTTCCTTGTGAAATTAATTGACGCGATTCCTTGATGGTTCGAGAAGCTGGTAGCGAAATTTGGTGCCCATATCGAATTTTAAATAAAACCTCATGCTAAATACTTTTCTTTTATATCTATTTCTTTTAAAAATTATAGTTAATAAATAAATTATAAGTATTTTAAAATGGGGAGTTACTTTTCACTCACCTTGTACATGAGGTCGACAACTAAGAAGAGATGATTAAGAAATTTTTGCTGCTTTGTGGTGAGATGGTCAAAAGTATATCTTTAAAAAAGAAAAAGCAAAACTTACAGACACAAATCTCTTCCGCGCAAAGCGTAAAAATTAGAAATTTGGTTTAGACGAGAGCAAATCCCAAAGTGTGGCGAAACCAGTGATGATCTTCTTCCAGATCATTTTACTAAGCAGCGCCGCAAATGAGTGGCTTCTGCTGAACAGAGTTTAATCTACGCCATTTCAATGTATCATCAACGATGCGACAAATAATCATAATATTTAAGGACATCCTTTATTGTCCGGATAAAAATGTCAATAGAAACTTGAAAGACCCACAACTGCTTCATTTATTCTTATAACACCCTCAGATATCGCTAATGATCTATTCATTTTACGTGTCAATGAATTTATAGACTCTAAAAATATAAACACGGGTTTATGTTAAGTGAGAATGGAAACAGTAAGAATAATTAAGTTTCTCTTTTTATAAGGAAAACACAGAATTAAAACACGTAATTAAAAAAAATGTAACCCCCCCAAACTTTGCAGATGATGTAACCTAACATTACATATGCACTTGTTCATGTTTGTCATATTTATCATACAATTAATATACAATAATATACCCATTTTTTTAATGTACACTTAAATTACGCTAATATTTTAATAATGAGAAACTCGTAAGAGCCACACGACAAAAACCATAAAATGAACACGTGACATCTACCAAACTAATTAAAAATAAATTAAGATAAAACCATAACATTTAAAAAATTGAAACAACTCCATATTATCCACTTAAAAACTCTTTTCTGATTAAGTTAAATCAATAACTGAACACGGTAAATTTATAAAATTCCGATTGATTTTTATTTAATCATATATATATATATATATATATATATATATATATATATATATATATATATATATATATATATTATAAATTAATTGATTTAAAATTTTTTTCTTTACACAGTTCTAACCATGTTTCAAAAATGGAAGCTAAATGGCCCGAACTTAACCTAGTTTAAAATAAATAAGACAAAGACTGCAACCAAAAACGACCAGGTCTTTGTAACTTCTAATTTTACGCTCTCCCCACATTTAACATTATTAACAGGAAAGACAATGTCAGTAAAATGTAATGAAATTTTGTCCTGTTCCTGATCTATCTATCTCTCTCTCTCTCTCTCTCTCTCTCTCTCTATATATATATATATATATATATATATATATATATATATATAATATTGAAATAATAAAAAGTAGACAATAAAGTCACCAGCAAGCGGCGAACGTCTCTTTAATGGTTCACCGCCATCTTCACACATGGGCGGAAGATTGCAATCAAGTATGAAACGGATTGTCACAGCTTGCTGTTGACTTTAGTATCCACTTCTATATATATATATATATATATATATATATATATATATATATATGTATGTATAGACCAGGAGCACTAGAAAATTCATATTTTATTGACATTTTTTTCCTGCAAATATTGTTAAGCGCGTGGCTGAGCGTATAATTAGAATGGTCAAAGAACCGGTAGTTTTCGATCCCAGTCTTTGTCTTATTTATTTGACCGCAGTGTTGAATTGTACATTTTATATTTACATATATTCTATCTCTGATACTGGTTATTTTTATCCTGTACATATTGCATAACTATATTTTATCATATATATATATATATATATATATATATATATATATATATATATATATATATATATATATATATATATATATATATATATATATATATATATATATATTTAAATGATTTGAAATATGTTTTTTTTTCGCTACACAGTTCTAACCATGATTCAAAATTGAAGCTAAAAGCTGAATTTAATTTTGTAATTAAATTAAAGACATTATTTCCATTTCATCCTCAAGCGAATTTTGGAGTATTTTATATACATACATACATACATGTATTTGAAATCTAGAATTACTATGTAATTCATCAGTTTTATGATTGTAATTCCATAGTTGTCTATGTTGCATACTTTCATGTGATACACACAATTAGTACGTTGAACGGTGCACCACATGGCAAACTTGTATTACGCGAATATCTGGATAAAGAGCTGGACTATTTGCCAAGAAAATCAGCATTCGCAATCCTGTTTTGTACACGAGAACAATGAACACCGACCTCAAACACTGTGCGAAATACATAACTATTTTAGCCACGAAACAGCCAACTCTCTTTACCAACTTTCTCAAAACAAAAAAAAAACAAATTGTCTGCTAATCTCTTAAAAGGAACCGCCACCCCTTTTTATCTCGTAACTTCAATTCCGCCATCAGCTAAAGTGTCTCTAAACACGGTACATTTTGGTAAATGTTTATAAAGTCCCACTGTTTGGCATCCATTATGTCACTGGACCGATGACAAAGCTAGTGACCCGTGCCCATGAGCAGAGTAAAGAGGAAAAGCTTCTTTCCACCTCTTTTCTTATTCCTTTTGGGAATATTAGCTCAAGCTAAAGGATATAGAGAAGAAACGTGGTTTTTCTTGATTCTAACAATGGAAGTGGATATTGTAAAAGAAATGAATATTCCTTCAGTTAAAAAATAAAATAAAAAAAAAAAAACATGAACGGTTTAAATATTAGCCTTCATTTTCTGATCAACCTTTTTCTGTCTCTTTAATTTCATTCCTTAGTTTTTCATTTGGATTAATTTTCATTTTCTAGACATCTTTCCGTTATTATTTTTCTGTTTCTTCTTTGACGCGGTTTCTTTCATTCTTTCGTTGTAATTATGTCTTCTTTTATTTTCTTTTTTTCTTTTTTTCTTTTCATTCGTTTTGTTTATTTCTTATTTTTATTCATTTTCTTTGTTACTTTCATTCTTTTTTCGCTTTTCTTATTTTCATACATTTTGCTTCTTTCTCTCTTTCATTCATTCTTACTTTTTTCTTTCATTCTTTTTAGCTTCAGTCTTACTTTTATTCAGTCTTGCTTCTTTATTTCATTCAGTCTTGCTTCTTTATTTCATTCAGTCTTGCTTCTTTCTTTCATTTATTCTTGCTTCTTTCTTTCATTTATTCTTGCTTCTTTTTGTCTTTCATTCATTCTTGCTTCTTTCTTTCATTTATTCTTGCTTCTTTCACTCATTCATTCATTCTCGCTTCTTTCTTTCTCACTTTCATTCATTCTTGCTTCTTTCTTTCTCACTTTCATTCATCCTCGCTTCTTTCTCACTTTCATTCATTTTGCTTGTTTCTTTCATTCTTTTTGCTCCTTTCTTCTTGCTTCTTTCATTCTCCTAGCTTCTTCTTACTTTACACTTCCTTCGTACATCTTTTTGTTCTTCCTTTCCATTTCTTTATCCTTTTCTATCTATTCTCCTTTTCTTTCTCTTTCTATTATGCCTTTTCCCTTCTTTTCTATCTATTCTTCCCTCTCTCTCTTTTCCTCACTTCCTATCTTTTCCCCCCTCCTTCTTTCCGTTACACTCTGCTTCTTCCGTCTGAGGTTCACTTGATACAAATATTGTTTTTCCTCCAACCAATTTTTCATTTTTTTCCCTTCCAGTTACGCACCTCCTTTTAGCTTTTCAACTTACCACTCACCATTTTATTCTTTTCCGAGGTTGCCTGATTCAAAACCACATTACATTTCTCTTTGCGCATCATCAGTTAAGTTCCTCCTTCTCCTGCACGCAGCTAAGTTGATTTCAACATGTCTTCACCTCTAAGTTCTGTTGCCTCACCCCTCCTGTAAACTCATCCACGTATCATATACTAAACACGCTCCAAGAGTTTAGCGCTTAATTTTGACCCAAGAACAGCTTTTGAAATTATATGTTTGAAACAATAATTAAGCATCAATTGTAAGACAGAATGTATGTTTGTTAGCAAAGGGACAACCTAACAAGCAAAAAACATGTTAAAATCAAGCAAATACAAAAATTTAAATATCTGGGAAATATTTTAACAGATAACGGAAAATGCGACATCGAAATCCGAAAGCGCATTTGGATAGCGAAACTTGCCTTATAGAAGCTAAGTAATGTATTAAGACATAGGAAAATTTCGTTAGAAAGTAAGAAAATAGCACTGAACTATTATATAATATTGGACCTTCTATGTGGCAGTGGATGCTGGATAATCTCACTGATGAAGAAAAGACTTGAAACAACAGCAATATGTTTCTACGGATGGATGCTGAGAAAATAATGGACTAGATATGTGAGCAACGACAAAGTTTTAGAGAAAAAATAAAGCACACTTAAATTTAACATCAGAAATAGACAGTTGGAATTTCTAGGTCGTATAATGAGGAAAAAGCTCATAGAAATATTGACACCCACCCACATGGCATGCTGGATGGAAGAGAGACAGAGGAATCCAGTGAATGACGTACCTGGGTAAAGGTTTGGTAGAAAAGAGATTAGGAGTGATGACAAAAAGACAAATTTTACTAAGAGCTACAAAGGAAATTGAGAAGAGTCATGATCGCCAACGTCCTGAAGGGACAAAGTATATAGAAGAAGCAGAAGCAAAATTTAAGAATAAATAAATAGGATTAAGTAAGAAACAATTCCATTTTGATTTTACATCTCGAGAAAACCTTTTGATTTCGAGTACCTTTCTTCTCCATAAGTATGAAAAAGACTAACCTGGGAAACAAGATCGCCATTTTTTTTTATTTATTCAGTTTTATATATTTTCTCTAGGAAGTTAAAAAGTAGAAGTATTAGGTACATTATTTACATTATTCGGACTATTGTCCTGATCTTTGTCGCCATATTTATTACTCCGGCCTTCTTCAGGTGGTTGGAATGTTGAACTGAACCCTTTATTTCGCTCACTGGGGTAGATTGTTCTAGTTCCACGTGCCATGTTTTTAATGGATGTCAGTTATCAGTTATCTCCTGCTTATTCCCCTCTCCAAGGTCTCCACTGCCTTAACCGGGTATTAAACCCACTCTTTGGGTCCTGTCACTGGATCTAACTAACGCCTTTATCCACTGTGCCATGTGTCGTTGACGAAATCTGTGTATGAATTTCTGGGTATTATAAAACTAATGTCTTCAGCAACATTTTTTACCAGTGCTCATATTTCAGAATTGACGGGTTGGGTCGCTGAGTACCTGACTAGATCCCTCCACGCATTTGGGTTGAAAGCCAAATTCATTCATGCGTAGCGTTTATTTTGTAAATAGACATAGTGGATCTCATCCCTTTGCAGGTCAAACCACAGCAGTTTTCCTCTCACTTGAACGCTCACCTTTGACATGGTCACGTGTCCATTGATTCTATCTTGCCCTGGCTAGTGACTGCAGTCTAGGTCATCCAAGCGATGCCTTGTCAACAACGCTAACCCCTTGTCGTAATTTCTAACAGGAAGTAAGCCCTTGCGTCATAGTTGTTTTATTGCCTTGCTTGGGGTGAAATGATTAAAAAAGTACAATTCTAACAAAAAAATTCTTGACTTTTAATGTTGTCTATGTTTTGGAAGACAATTTTCACTATTATTTTAGTATGTAAAAGCTCAGTAGACCCGATTCCCAAGAGAATGTTACCCCTATGACTACAATTTTAACCTGTTCAAGCCTAGCCTTAACCGTCATCTTCCCTCCCTCTATGCATACACTACCACTTAACGTAACCCTCTACTTCGCACCTTGTACAGGGTGGATAAAAAAAACAGAAGAAAAATTCTGTTTAGAAATGGGTTTTTGGTTCTTCCTAAAGGCTTCTCATTCTCTTTCACTCCCAGTAACCACTTACGGCTTAGTGGAATTATCACCTTTCTTGGATTCAAAAGATATATATATAAACATTCCACCCCAACAATAATCTCGCGTGAACCAGGAAATAAAAAAAAATAAAGTGTCAACACAAAATATAAATGAAAATAAATATAATATTTCCAGCATTTGAAAACTCGGAGTTCTGCAATTAATGCCAAATATGTATATTTCTTATATATGCGTGTGTGTGTGTGTGTGTGTGTGAAATTTCTCAGAATAAATCTGTAGAGAAGACAAACTGAAAAAATAGGCTATCGGAAAATAGTGGCGATAAACAAAAGCGTCTTTTAAAAAAAAAAAAAATTGACCTCATGTAACTACAAAAACTTCGCGTTGTTTAACATCTCTTACCTTGATAAAGTCAAATGACGAAAAGGGTCGGCACGTATTAAGTACTATTTTCCGAATGTCTATTTCATATATATATATATATATATATATATATATATATATATACCTAAAGAGCCAGGTAAACCTACCTAGGTTTCACCTATACGGATCGTCAGGGTCAACGTCAGGGTTCACCTGGCTCTTTAGGTTCATATTTAGGTTTGCTCTACTTAGCGTATTAAGCAATTTACGTAGTTACTTTTGTTTTACTCGTTTTGGAGGATTTTTTCTTTGGACTCTGAGCTTGAATTCTGGACGATTGTTTTCGCCTCAATTTCATGTTCTTAGTTCTTTCTTTTTTATCCCTTATTTTTCCTTGGACATTGGTGGTTTGTTCAATTACAAGCCAAAATAAATACCTAAGTTTTTTTTCCAAACGAGTATAACTATATATATACACACATATATATATATATATATATATATATATATATATATATATATCAAATATTGCTGCTTTTCCACGACTTAAAATTCTTGTAGACGTTCATTTTTATACGGTGATGTCACAATCTTCTGGAGATTCAAGAACAAGATGCTCAATTCTATATTTTCGAATATTCTATCTTATTTCTCAAAATATAGAATTGAGTATGTTGTCCTTGAAACGTTGTGATAATAACAAGAAAGTTGAGAACATTAGTCCGAATGTAAATAGGTAACTGTTGATGCCTTACCGTAGAAATTCAGTCATAACATGATCTGAAGTTGTAACTGTATCACGTTTTATCTATAAGCTTAATATTTGTCATTGAATTAAGAATATTGTCACAGAAAGATATTAAGTTGAGAAACAAATATTATCCTACAGAATGAATGCAATTTTAATGATTAAGTAACATAATAATCAATCTATAGTCTTAAGGCAATACCACGTTGAAACATTCTTGTACGATCAAGAATGTTAATCAACGACGAGACTGGTGAGTAGTTTGGTGAGTGACCCTTTGGTAATACGAAATGCTGAAAGCTTGGAGATTCAAGTGGTGTAATGGATAATGGCTCAGAAATTAAAAGTGGAGATAGGAGTCTCAATTCCAGTCGAGGTCGTTGTAGTCAATTACGCACAAATACATTTAGGAAAGGTATGAATCCACTTCTTCTACCTTCAGCTATGGATTAATTAGTAGCACCTGTATCAGTATATCATTATTATCTCAAAAAGAATCTTAAAGTCTGAAAATATAATCTGGCTTTAAATAACCTGCAAAAGGTTTATAAGACGTAAAAAAAACTAATCAATCAAAACCTACATATGCA